TAATACAATTTTTGTATGCAATTATACTAGACTGAAGTCCAGAAATGGGTCTAGCAATGTGCTAACTTATTTTTTACTTGACTAAACGAAACAAGCGTTAATTTCAATGATCCCCGTAAGTGTACGTTTAAGTTGAACGTGATTCGATTTTCCTCCTGCACACCAATCTGTCGTTGCTGCGATGCATGAACGAGTGCATTCTTGAAGCACTCGCCGACTCCGGTGATTAATAAGACGGGGAATGCTCATTTAAATGGTCGTGCATGACGTCGCGTTTTTACTAGTTGTTGTTTGGCGACGACTGTCTGAAGACAGATGTGCGGTTAGTCCGCTGGTCTAGCCTGGCTGCATTCGGCATGATCGCTTGTCGAATGAGTGCTGTTTGTTCAACAGTTGTTCCTCGATTCATCTCTTCGATTAAAGTCATAGTTCACTGCTTTCTGAAGTATGAGGGTTCTACTTCTTTTCGGGATGGCCAGGAAAGGCTTTTCTTTAGATAATTGATTAATCGATGTCTCTTTGAAGCTGCATGATTAAAATATTATCAAAGTTCGTTTTCAAGCCGTCGATGTGAGGTGGTTGAGTATTTGTGCTGATAGGTAATCTTGTTTTTTGTCTTAACCGACGCGAAGTACTCTAAGCTCTGACGTAATTATTTAAAGCCGTTTCTTTCACTGTACATATGTAAAAATCAGATGAAAGCTCAAGTGGTGATCGGTTGAGGGAAAATGCTATCTTTAATGGAATCGTTAAAACAAATCGCACGATTCTATCAACGAAGCATTTGAAAACTCCGGGTCAAAGGCCAAAGGCCGCGAGTTACAATCTGCGGATTTTCATTGCTCTGCGAAACGACTACTGGAGTCTTTTTTCGCTGACCTTCATTTGAGCACTCCTTCCTTCTGCCTCTTCTTCTCTACTGACCGTAAACTCGTGACAGGCAGCGAGTTGACCAACCGACTGACCGGTAGGACTACTGCCTCGTTGCCTGGCCTGGCCTGGCCTGCGCTGGCTGTCTGGCAGTCTTGGTGGCGAGACTTAAAACTTCTTTCGTTTCTTCCGTCCGAGTTTTTGCTCGTCGTCGTCCAGCTGATGACTGACTGGTTTGCGGCTGGGCCGATCCGATCGAACGACGACCGACCAATCGA